TATTACAACCGCATTTGACATACATCAGAAGGTACGTGTGTGTAGAACAAGTTGAAGCAAGTCCCGTCTTCTTACAACCGAGTACTGTTTTGGTTTCAGTAAGGGGCCACCGGATGCAGAATTACTAAAAACGTACAAGTCGATGTACCAGTGTGCGTTGCGAATGGAAGACAAGACAGAGTTAATAATCACCAACCTCCTACAAACGCTGCGACAGTTGAATAGGCTTCACGTGGGAACTCAGAGCAAAGCCAGAAGCTAGCACACTGAGACGTTAGGTGTGCGTTCGTGTTAACCTGGAATCGTAGCTGTATTTCTTGTAGTGTGTTGTTGGCTTCATCATGATCGTGTATATTACATTTTGGACTTGCCTTAATAAACTGCTCTAAAAGACAAGTAGTTGCTTGAAAATATGGAGTGCTATTCTAGCCGGCGTGAATAAAAACAGAACTGTTTTTATTCACTCCTAGATTCTCACATCCATTGCAGATTGTGAAGGTTGTGTCAGTGCGCTGTACCATGTGGTATTCTGTGATAACCAAGACTGCTCCAATCAAACCGTGTATATTTAAATAAAGAAATGTAAGATTTTTATATGGATTATATTTTACAGTTTATTTCTACATTAACTAGCAAACTAAACAAGTAATTTGTAAAATCTTCTTGATATCAATGCATATTAGTCATATTTTACAAATCACTCCCCCCCCCCTCTCATTCACTCTCTTACATTCTTGATCCATTCCTGTTGACCACAAGCACATGCAAACACACTTTCTATTCGTTTGGCCACAATGCTACTTGTAGCTGTCCCTCTCTATGGAATGACCCTATCCAATCACCTAATGGACAAAAGTTATACAACTATTTAAACTTCATGCTGTCATCATATTGCAAATATCTGATGTTTATTGCCCAGAATCAATACTGTAAATGAGAATAGAAACAACAAAAACTTCCTATAGTTTACAGTAAGAATAACAACAAATAAAAACTTTGTACACAAATTTATTGTTATCTTGGTACAAAACATATTTCATAATATTTTATATAAATTTATCATGATTATCTAAGTTATATAATGTATTCTAATGTTTATACATGAGAACAGTGAATGACCAAACAAGCAGAAAAGTGCGTGATTCAAAAATTTGTCAGTTCAGTATCCATGCCTAGCGAGCGCTGCAGGCGAAATTTTGAAAGAAATGAACGCAATCCTGAGCTTTCATATAAAACCCCATTTAATTTTCTAAAATTTCTTCCAGTTATAGGACCCAAAATTAGAATTTTCATCTTGTATCCAAGTGGATTACTAGCTTCTAGGTTTCTGGTATTCCAAATGGATATTAGTATCCCACATAGAGAACATAATGTGCCCCTCCCCTCTCATGTAAAATTTTACGATTTTAAAGCTAGACTGGTGCATTCTGAGAGTACATGAGAATGGATTTTTTATGTACAACGATTGGAGCCATATTTTAACATGAAAGCATTCATCGGGAAATTGACGAATGAAAATAGATTTACCATCGCAAGAGCGACGAAGTGGAACAGTCTAAGTACAGATTACAGGGGTAGTAGCAATATTTTTCAGAGATTACTTGTGATCGTCCGGTATTTGAATGCTTTTACGATGCACCGGTACCGATCGTCAATCATTGACTAACCTGAACCTACCTCCCCCACTTCGTTCTCAACGGATCTACACGAATTAAGCAATTTCTCATTATGTTTGGAATATAATTTAAAAAGCGGAAATCCGCAGGGCCGCGGAAAATTCTCATGTATGAAAAACTATAAAATCCGTACATAACATGTGGCTCTGAATATATCCGGAATGCTATAGTATGACCCGTACCTTCACACATAGGCCTACACAGTATTCATGGGCGTATATAGTAGATTAATGACCATGTAGACGCGCCAGTGTGACGTCACTCACCACTTCTCGAATGCACTTAAAATTCCACGTACACGCTCTTCACAACCTACCTCTTAATACACCCTAAATCCTTTACACCTTGTGTAACCTTTGCAATCCTTTGCACTGTGTAAAATTACATGTCGACCTACAGGCCTCATACCAAGTCTAATCTAAACTTCGAATGAGCATTGCAGTCAATTCTAAAGCCGTTGACCAGACACTGAATGATCCACTCTGACGTCACCACAGGAATGCTCAGTTGCCCCACAGACTGTGTGACATTGTCGATTTGATCTGCCATCACTACATCAACAGGGTTCGGTGCATCTGCAAGGAAATCACGTGAAACATATAAATTGGAGCAGTTTTCTCTAAGAAAACATCTATACGTGCGAGTTTGTTGCAGTTGTACATTCTCTTCGATAAGATGGCACCAATTTATTTGTTTAGTTAGCTTCAGATCCAATAAGAATCCAGTATAGCCTTTAATGGTGATTCACCAGGTCACAGAAAAATGCCTGTGCGATACTGATCAGCTCCACTTGAGAATATGCTGAGACAGCTTGTATGCTTGGTCGCAATGAGGGAGGTGAAGGATGTATATATATATACACAGAAATAGAGAGCGAGCGAATGATAGATAGATCGATAGATCGATGACACATAGATATATGTATATATACGAGAGCAGGTGACACGTGACAATAATAACAACTTGTCTGTACCTGGATGCAGGGCATAGAGTTCGCCGACCACCTCGCCCCCTGCTGCCACGAGCACCGGCGACCACAGCTCCTTGAACATGCTATTGACGGACAGGATCATGATACGAAGTCCTGCAAGAACCGGACCTCTTGCCTGCCTGAAATCACAATGACAACACGCGTGCAATTACAAACGAATTGTTAACATTCAATTAATATTTAGACTGAGTACAGCAGCAGACAGGTTTACCATGTTAGAAGAGTAGCCTGCTAAATATTGCAAGAACCAATGCATCTTTCCGAAATCGGGCGAAGCATAAACCTGTTAGTGGGCACGGATGGGGAGGATAGACATGGAGGTGGCTTTTTCTCACACTTGTATGCCAGGGAACCATCTTGGTTACTGCCAAGGGTTTTAAAATAGACGTCACAAAGGACGGCAACGCAGACAACCAAACGCTACTGTGTATGGCACGCAGGCTTTACTATCTCACCAGGCGCCATATTTTAAAGTTATTAGCAATGGTGAAGACTGACAACTCACCATTCCACAGGTTTGCCTGTCATAATATTCTGCCCAGCTGGAAGAATGTATCCCCTGTAGTCCTGCAGTTGATTCTGTAACATGGCCCCCCCACCATACATGATTATACTAAATTTTAGATTCTACAACCCATTAATGCATAAAGTCATTACATAGTATTATGGGGTTGAACAAAAGTTATTTTTCGTTTTTTATTGTCTTATTTTTACAACATGCAGCACGTGGTCATAGTAATGCCTACAAAACAGCAGCTGTCGTGGATCCACCTGTGCGACACGCAGGGGATGCTACATGCCAACGCCTGCAGGTACTTTGCCGTTCTACAGAACGTGTCCGCAATGAGGTAGAAATTCTCCGCCGTTGCCTGAAATGTGACAAGTCCAGCCTAACTGACGTGTGCAATCATGCACGCATACACGTAAAACGATGAGAACCACCTGCCAGCAACGTAGAGAGATACTGCTAGGTTTCCACTATCTAGGCTAAAGGCCAGGTGCCATCGTGTCTTTGCTGCAAGCACTGCAGTGATTTCAGCACAAAGAGCTGCCTACTTCTTATGCCTGGGCTGTGACTTTAGAAAAGAGCTACTTTCAATATACTAATTAACATGGATGTGTCATCCTTTGTTTAGGCGAAGAAACACAACAAGAGCAACACACACAACACATGATGGCACTTGGTAGCACCTGGAGTTTTCAGCTGTTGGATACTTAGCAGACGAATGACTGGCTAGTGTGATACGAGCGATAACCATCATGCAAACTAATCAAAACATATATCTGCGATGCTTTTCATGCAGAATAAATGTTACGGAAAACGTGGCATGTATGAGAAAATGTGAATTTATCATATAAATGTGCCCTCTCCCCGACTGCAAATTTGGTCTATTTCAAAAGATCTGCCAAATATGCATACAAAGATTTACCAGCAAATTTGATTCAACAGTTCGTAGTGTCAATGTCAACCTCGGGCAGACCAACACTCATTTACCTTTATTGCAGTATAGATTAATTAAATTGTTGTTTGTTGTTCCAGCTACACCACGAGTGACAGTCGATTTTAATAAAGATCACATTACCAAGCAGATTAAGGCAGGAGGTGGCAAAATCTTTAAAAAGTTTGAACAGAATCAGGTATACTGTGGAATAACACGGTCGTTCACATAATATGCCTTATATATTCTTTTAAGCCTAGCATATCAACCCATCAAAGCATCAGACCTTCAATCGAACTGCAGTCTGTTGACGTTGCACTGGTGCCTTCCTTCTCGTCTTCTGCCAATACCGAGCCACTCGGATCAGCTTTCGTCAAAATGAATGTCATCCCCGCAAACAGTGTGCTGCCTGCGTGTAACGTTTGCATGTCCAACTATTAAAGAATGTCTCGGTAGCCTGCTCAGCTGGATGCATCAGTCAGGGAGCAAATGTAATCCCGTGGGAAATTCAGGCTACAAGCAAACAGCTAGGCTACATGTGTCAAGGAGACCATATGGAACATGAAAATATATGTTGGCAACATTGAAACTTGCACCGGGCAATTTTAAGGGGTGTTTTAGAACCAACACCATTTTTCAACATGGAAATGAGGCTCTGATATATAAATAGCTATAACTTTTTTTATTTTCAATAAAATTCGGCCAAACTTTCAGCGATTCCTAACCTCAGCGGGTCGGACATGGCTAGACCATAATATTCCACTAAAACGATCACGTGACATATCTGGCACGAAATCGAGGCTCTGACATTATTAGACCGCCATTTTTACTTACAGTTCAAGCAGATGTGTTCTTGTTGAAAATATGGATGCTATGGCAGAAGATGATAAATCCCGGCAGTTTTGCTTAGTATGCCAAGTGCAGATGGCTCGAGGTGACCTCAGCAACCTGATTCTTCGCACTGGCGAGTTGCATATCGTCATGGCCCAGTGAAGACCATCGGCGCTTACATCAAGAGCAGCGGAATCGACATGGCTTAGATTGAATCTGACCTCTATGGCTCATCGACAGTTAGACACTAAGAGAGCTGAAACAGCACACCTTATAACTTTGCAAGCCTTATTCAACCTTTACCAACAATTCTTCCTGGAGCAAGAAACAGGTGAAACTAAAGAGCGTCTGACGCAGCTGGCGAGCCAGTTGGAGAAAGCTTGCACAAGCGGAGAGAGCGGAAATGTAGCGCAGGCGCACAAGAACATGGCAGATGCTGTAGAAACATTGGATATCATGACTAAAATGTCAGAGTTCGATGAGAAGCACGCAAGCAAACCAATGTTCAAGGTCTTTCGGAGGTACATGGAAATGGTTTTAGAGTTGATGATGTTTATTCGCGCCGTTCGTACTGCTGACTGGGATCTCCACCTAAAGACCCTCAAAAGGTTCACAAAGTCCTTCTTCGCCCATGATCGACTTAACTACGCTAGGATGATCCATCTGTATCTCGCAGAAATGAAGTCTCTCGAGACAAGTGACTCCGACACCTACAGCAAATTTAAGAATGGCAACTGGATTGTGAACAAGAACCCCGTCGTTCCTTTCTGTGGGCTTGGTGCAGACAACGCCCTGGAGCATCTCAATCGCTCGATGAAAGTCAGTGGAAGATTAGTTGGTATAACCCTGAATCCTAATGCCCGCGCAAAGTTATTTTTGATTGCTCCAGAACTGGCTCAGTTGGCCAAGCAAGCGAGAGATATGGCAGGCGCGTCCAATCACTTACACTCCAAAATCCTTAGTCATCATCACAAGCTTACCACCGCCACATTGTCCCGTGAACAGAAGAATGTCAACAAGCTGACCGCAACAATCGCAAGCTACACTAACCCATTAGATCAGTCTGGAGATGACTTGTTCAATATTGTCACTAAAGTGGTAGTATCTGAGGAAACGAAACAGAACCTCTGTGCACAGAGTAGCGAGGGAGCCAAACTCCTTAACACATTCGTGTCAGAACGCATCCAGAAAGCCAATGTCAATCTGTGATCTCCCATGAAGAAACGCAAGCTTCTAACTTGGAAGACTACTCTAAAGAAGACCAGGGTTGCCGTGAAGAACAAGGTAGTTGAGTTACAAGAGGACAGAAGCCTGTTTGCCCGGATGATGGTGGTGTGCCAGTGGAAATCAACATACAAGAAGCAATTGGCCAGTACGAGTTTTCTGTGGTTCCGAGGTCCCTCTTTGCTGCTGATGATGTGATGCTACATTGACTAAACAAGAGTACGCTGATGAGCTTGGTTGAGAAAGATTATGGAGGCGCCAGCTGTCTCTTCCACTGATGAGACTGATGAGGCAAGACTCCCGGTGCATCGAAAGAAGGCAGTCATTGTGGATGGAATGGCGGAGCTGCAATCGCTGGACAAACCGGCCTGCATAGCTACGTGCGCTCAACTTGCCGAACACTTCACTGACAAGCTTCTCTTCAAGTTCTCCGAAAGAGAAGAGATTCATTTGGTTTTTGACCGTTACGATGTTCCCTCGTCCTTAAAGTCAGCTACACGCGTCCTTCGGCAGGGAGATCAAGCGCCGATTTACTACCGAATATCAGACACGACTCATATAGCAAAGGTCCCGATGAAACGCATACTGTCACACACCAAGACCAAGATGAAGTTGACGGAATATCTTGCAGCCAAGGTACTTCAGAGAGCAGAAAAAAAGGGCAAGGATCTCGTTGTCGCCTGGGGGTGTGAATGTAAAGCAACCCATCGAGATGTCGCGCACCTTCGCAGTAGTCAGGAGGAAGCAGACATGAAGATCATGCTGCACGCCATTGATGCTACTAGACAAGGAGCTACAGAAATCCATATCTCCGGATACGGATGTCTTTATTTTGTGCATGAGACAATGCCCTGAACTTTGTAGCAACATCAACTTTGTTACAGGAACTGGGCAGCAACGACGGGTTATCAGGCTACAGCCCATAGCACAAGCTCTTGGTCATCAGAAGGTAGCAGCGTTACCCGGCCTTCATGCATTGAGTGGTGCTGATGTTACTGGTTGTTTTGCTGGCAAAGGAAAGGCCACGTAGTGGAAGATCTTCCCAGAATCAGATGAAGAAGTTTTTGACGCTCTCGCAAACATGGGTTTTCCAAATCAGCCGACGGTGCAGACGCTCAATACTCTCGAGAGGCTTGTATGCAAGGTCTACGCCCCCAAATCAAGCATCGCTAATGTCAAGGAGCTCAAGTGGTCCCTTTTCCGGAAAATTGAAGCGCAATCAGAGAAGTTGCCACCCACCCATGCCGCACTTCGCGAAGGTATAAAGAGAGCCTGCTATCAAGAGAAAGTATGGAGTACCGATTTTGTAGCGAATCCACGACTTCCTTCCCCAGAAGAGTATGGCTGGAAGCTAGAAGGCGATACCTGGGTACCCGTGATGACGAGCTTGTCTCCCGCACCAGATGCTGTTATTGAGTTGGTCAAGTGCAATTGCTTAGCAAGTCGGTGCTCAACGAACCGATGCACGTGCAGAAAGCTAACCTCAACTACTGAACTACTGAACTATGTGGCTGCTCCGGAGACAGTGACCTATGCGAGAATCGCCTAGAAGACGAGTACATTGATGATTCTGACTCTACATCAGAAGTGGATGAGGACTGATCCTTATAATGCAGTGCATGTCCATTGGTTTATGGTCTAGCCATGTCCAACTCGCTGAGGTTAGTAATCGCTGAAAGTTTGGCCGAATTTTATTGAAAATAAAAAAAGTTATAGCCAATTATATATCAGAGCCTCGATTTCGTGCCAGATATGTCATGTGATCGTTTTAGTGGAATATTATAATCTAGCCATGTCCAACTCGCTGAGGTTTGTAATCGCTGAAAGTTTGGCCGAATTTTATTGAAAATAAAATAAGTTATAGCTATTTATATATCAGAGCCTCGTTTCCATGTTGAAAAATCGTGTTGTTTCTAAAACACCCCCTAAAATAGCCCGGTGCAAGTTTCAATGTTGCCAACATATATTTTCATGTTCCATATGGTCCCCTCGACACATCTAGCCTAGCTGTTGGCTTGTAGCCTGGAATTCCCATGGGAATTTGCGACATTTGCTCCCTGACTACTAGTACACATTCAGTACACACGCAGATAAGCAATTGACAGTAATTAACCCATCTATCCAAGAGAATTAACAAGTGCCGCAGAGCGACAGGGCTCATCTGGTGTCTGGTGTTGTGCTGATAAATTCATTTGTGCATATACAATGTTCCTATACATATGTTCATTTCTAACCTCAAAAAAAACACTTCAAACTAGTGTAATAAAATTCCGATAGATGGCGGGCCGCTATCAAAGGCATCGTTGCATCGGTCAGCCAAAGCATTGCAGCAATGGCAGCTGTCAGTGTGACGACGGATTGCAAAAAGCAGGAGCGAATAATTACCATATTATTACTATACATAACGTGCATTCTATGGTGTCAGGTAATAAGGTACATTAAACCCCTTGCAAGGCACATCTGGCTCGTTAAAAATAGCTCAATGGTTGATACAACCAGAGCAGCTCGTCCAAGATTACCATTTTAATTTACAGCAATACGATAGCAAATATCTGTAAACTAATTTCAGTACAAGGTAGGCCAGTGATTAGTGGACCGAATAAGCTCAAGAACGTACACACTTGCGTCTATATTGGTGCCAAAATTTGATGAGAAAATTAAGTCTGGGAAATCCGCAGCCTCACTCCTGGGTAATTATTTGAGTGCTAGAAGGTCACTACGACCTTTATTTGACCTTCACCTTAACCTTGATCATATTTCCCTTCCGCTCTATAACTCGGGCCCTAATTGACCTATCGCTACCAAACTTGGTATACTTACACATCTTGGGGAGAATGTGTGTCGCGTACCAAAACCAGGTCGCTGCGGCTTTTATTTGACCATGACCTTGACCTTGATCATATTTTTCTTCCGCTCTATAACTCGACCCCTAATTGACCTAGCGCGACCAAACTTGGTATACTTACACATCTTGGGGAGAACACGGGGGATACATGTAGTTGGCGACAACTGCCCTTTCTAGTTTTACCTATCATGTGCTGTTTGACACACAGTGCTATTTCTTTATAGACTTCGGCTACCATGTCATCAAAGAAAGAGTCCAACGTGACATCGATGAACGAGAATCAATTCATGCAGGAAGCCAGCAAGCTGCTGGGAATTATGCAGCAGCAACTGCAGGGAACCTTGATGGCTCTTGTTAAGGCTGCTTCCACGCCGGCCAAACGAGGGTGAGTGTAGTTCGTTTCAATAAGAGGCAATTTTACTGTCGACGAGTTGCCATTTTGCTGCAGATAACTGATATGAACAAGTGCAGTACGTCTATAGACGCCTATATTGTGGACCGCACCAAATTTCGGTAAACACAAATTTTATTACAACCGCATTTGACATACATCAGAAGGTACGTGTGTGTAGAACAAGTTGAAGCAAGTCCCGTCTTCTTACAACCGAGTACTGTTTTGGTTTCAGTAAGGGGCCGCCGGATGCAGAATTACTAAAAACGTACAAGTCGATGTACCAGTGTGCGTTGCGAATGGAAGACAAGGCAGAGTTAATAATCACCAACCTCCTACAAACGCTGCGACAGTTGAATAGGCTTCACGTGGGAACTCAGAGCAAAGCCAGAAGCTAGCACACTGAGACGTTAGGTGTGCATTCGTGTTACCTGGAATCGTAGCTGTATTTCTTGTAGTGTGTTGTTGGCTTCATCATGATCGTGTACATTACATTTTGGACTTGCCTTAATAAACTTCTCTAAAAGACAAGTAGTTGCTTGAAAATATGGAGTGCTATTCTAGCCGGCGTGAATAAAAACAGAACTGTTTTTATTCACTCCTAGATTCTCACATCCATTGCAGATTGTGAAGGTTGTGTCAGTGCGCTGTAATGTGGTATTCTGTGATAACCAAGACTGCTCCAATCAAACCGTGTATATTTAAATAAAGAAATGTAAGATTTTTATATGGATTATATTTTACAGTTTATTTCTACATTAACTAGCAAACTAAACAAGTAATTTGTAAAATCTTCTTGATATCAATGCATATTAGTCATATTTTACAAATCACTCCCCCCCCCCTCTCATTCACTCTCTTACATTCTTGATCCATTCCTGTTGACCACAAGCACATGCAAACACACTTTCTATTCGTTTGGCCACAATGCTACTTGTAGCTGTCCCTCTCTATGGAATGACCCTATCCAATCACCTAATGGACAAAAGTTATACAACTATTTAAACTTCATGCTGTCATCATATTGCAAATATCTGATGTTTATTGCCCAGAATCAATACTGTAAATGAGAATAGAAACAACAAAAACTTCCTATAGTTTACAGTAAGAATAACAACAAATAAAAACTTTGTACAAAAATTTATTGTTATCTTGGTACAAAACATATTTCATAATATTTTATATAAATTTATCATGATTATCTAAGTTATATAATGTATTCTAATGTTTATACATGAGAACAGTGAATGACCAAACAAGCGGAAAAGTGCGTGATTCAAAAATTTGTCAGTTCAGTATCCATGCCTAGCGAGCGCTGCAGGCGAAATTTTGAAAGAAATGAACGCAATCCTGAGCTTTCATATAAAACCCCATTTAATTTTCTAAAATTTCTTCCAGTTATAGGACCCAAAATTAGAATTTTCATCTTGTATCCAAGTGGATTACTAGCTTCTAGGTTTCTGGTATTCCAAATGGATATTAGTATCCCACATAGAGAACATAATGTGCCCCTCCCCTCTCATGTAAAATTTTACGATTTTAAAGCTAGACTGGTGCATTCTAAGAGTACATGAGAATGGATTTTTTATGTACAACGATTGGAGCCATATTTTAACATGAAAGCATTCATCGGGAAATTGACGAATGAAAATAGATTTACCATCGCAAGAGCGACGAAGTGGAACAGTCTAAGTACAGATTACAGGGGTAGTAGCAATATTTTTCAGAGATTACTTGTGATCGTCCGGTATTTGAATGCTTTTACGATGCACCGGTACCGATCGTCAATCATTGACTAACCTGAACCTACCTCCCCCAATTCGTTCTCAACGGATCTACACGAATTAAGCAATTTCTCATTATGTTTGGAATATAATTTAAAAGCGGAAATCCGCAGGGCCGCGGGAAATTCTCATGTATGAAAAACTATAAAATCCGTACATAACATGTGGCTCTCAATATATCCGGAATGCTATAGTATGACCCGTACCTTCACACATAGGCCTACACAGTATTCATGGGCGTATATAGTAGATTAATGACCATGTAGACGCGCGCCAGTGTGACGTCACTCACCACTTCTCGAATGCACTTAAAATTCCACGTACACGCTCTTCACAACCTACCTCTTAATACACCCTAAATCCTTTACACCTTGTGTAACCTTTGCAATCCTTTGCACTGTGTAAAATTACATGTCGACCTACAGGCCTCATACCAAGTCTAATCTAAACTTCGAATGAGCATTGCAGTCAATTCTAAAGCCGTTGACCAGACACTGAATGATCCACTCTGACGTCACCACAGGAATGCTCAGTTGTCCCACCGACTGTGTGACATTGTCGATTTGATCTGCCATCACTACATCAACAGGGTTCGGTGCATCTGCAAGGAAATCACGCGAAACATATAAATTGGAGCAGTTTTCTCTAAAAAAACATCTATACGTGTGAGTTTGTTGCAGTTGTCCATCTCTTCGATAAGATGGCACCAATTTATTTGTTTAGTTAGCTTCAGATCCAATAAGAATCCAGTATAGCCTTTAATGGTGATTCACCAGGTCACAGAAAAATGCCTGTGCGATACTGATCAGCTCCACTTGAGAATATGCTGAGACAGCTTGTATGCTTGGTCGCAATGAGGGAGGTGAAGGATGTATATATATATACACAGAAATAGAGAGCGAGCGAATGATAGATAGATCGATAGATCGATGACACATAGATATATGTATATATACGAGAGCAGGTGACACGTGACAATAATAACAACTTGTCTGTACCTGGATGCAGGGCATAGAGTTCGCCGACCACCTCGCCCCCTGCTGCCACGAGCACCGGCGACCACAGCTCCTTGAACATGCTATTGACGGACAGGATCATGATACGAAGTCCTGCAAGAACCGGACCTCTTGCCTGCCTGAAATCACAATGACAACACGCGTGCAATTACAAACGAATTGTTAACATTCAATTAATATTTAGACTGAGTACAGCAGCAGACAGGTTTACCATGTTAGAAGAGTAGCCTGCTAAATATTGCAAGAACCAATGCATCTTTCCGAAATCGGGCGAAGCATAAACCTGTTAGTGGGCACGGATGGGGAGGATAGACATGGAGGTGGCTTTTTCTCACACTTGTACGCCAGGGAACCATCTTGGTTACTGCCAAGGGTTTTAAAATAGACGTCACAAAGGACGGCAACGCAGACAACCAAACGCTACTGTGTATGGCACGCAGGCTTTACTACCTCACCAGGCGCCATATTTTAAAGTTATTAGCAATGGTGAAGACTGACAACTCACCATTCCACAGGTTTGCCTGTCAGAATATTCTGCCCAGCTGGAAGAATGTATCCCCTGTAGTCCTGCAGTTGATTCTGTAACATGGCCCCCCACCATACATGATTATACTAAATTTTAGATTCTACAACCCATTAATGCATAAAGTCATTACATAGTATTATGGGGTTGAACAAAAGTTATTTTTCGTTTTTTATTGTCTTATTTTTACAACATGCAGCACGTGGCCATAGTAATGCCTACAAAACAGCAGCTGTCGTGGATCCACCTGTGCGACACGCAGGGGATGCTACATGCCAACGCCTGCAGGTACTTTGCCGTTCTACAGAACGTGTCCGCAATGAGGTAGAAATTCTCCGCCGTTGCCTGAAATGTGACAAGTCCAGCCTAACTGACGTGTGCAATCATGCACGCATACACGTAAAACGATGAGAACCACCTGCCAGCAACGTAGAGAGATACTGCTAGGTTTCCACTATCTAGGCTAAAGGCCAGGTGCCATCGTGTCTTTGCTGCAACCACTGCAGTGATTTCAGCACAAAGAGCTGCCTACTTCTTATGCCTGGGCTGTGACTTTAGAAAAGAGCTACTTTCAATATACTAATTAACATGGATGTGTCATCCTTTGTTTAGGCGAAGAAACACAACAAGAGCAACACACACAACACATGATGGTACTTAATTGGTAGCACCTGGAGTTTTCAGCTGTTGGATACTTAGCAGACAAATGACTGGCTAGTGTGATACGAGCGATAACCATCATGCAAACTAATCAAAACATATATCTGCGATGCTTTTCATGCAGAATAAATCTATTATGTGAATGACCGTGTTATTCCTCAGTAATATACCTGATTCTGTTCAAACTTTTTAAAGATTTTTCCACCTCCTGCCTTAATCTGCTTGGTAATGTGATCTTTATTAAAATCGACTGTCACTCGTGGTGTAGCTGGAACAACAAACAACAATTTAATTAATCTATACTGCAATAAAGGTAAATGAGTGTTGGTCTGCCCGAGGTTGACATTGACACTACGAACTGTTGAATCAAATTTGCTGGTAAATCTTTGTATGCATATTTGGCAGATCTTTTGAAATAGACCAAATTTGCAGTCGGGGAGAGGGCACATTTATATGATAAATTCACATTTTCTCATACATGCCACGTTTTCCATACTGCCCTTCAAGCTGCACTCTTAAGCCTTATATATTCTTTTAAGCCTAGCATATCAACCCATCAAAGCATCAGACCTTCAATCGAACTGCAGTCTGTTGACGTTGCACTGGTGCCTTCCTTCTCGTCTTCTGCCAATACCGAGCCACTCGGATCAGCTTTCGTCAAAATGAATGTCATCCCCGCAAACAGTGTGCTGCCTGCGTGTAACGTTTGCATGTCCAACTATTAAAGAATGTCTCGGTAGCCTGCTCAACTGGATGCATCAGTCAGGGAGCAAATGTAATCCCGTGGGAAATTCAGGCTACAAGCAAACAGCTATGCTACATGTGTCAAGGAGACCATATGGAACATGAAAATATATGTTGGCAACATTGAAACTTGCACCGGGCTATTTTAGGGGGTGTTTTAGAAACAACACCATTTTTCAACATGGAAACGAGGCTCTGATATATAAATAGCTATAACTTTTTTATTTTCAATAAAATTCGGCCAAACTTTCAGCGATTCCTAACCTCAGCGAGTTGGACATGGCTAGACCATAATATTCCACTAAAACGATCACGTGACATATCTGGCACGAAATCGAAGCTCTGATATATAAATTGCTATAACTTTTTTTTATTTTCAATAAAATTAGGCCAAACTTTTAGCGATTACTAACCTCAGCGACTTGGACATGGCTAGATCATAATATTCCACTAAAACGATCACGTGACATATCTGGCACGAAATCAAGGCTCTGACATTATTAGACTGCCATTTTGACTTACAGTTCAAGCAGATGTGTTCTTGTTGAAACTATGGATGCTATGGCAGAAGATGATAAATCCCGGCGGTTTTGCTTAGTATGCCAAGTGCAGATGGCTCGAGGTGACCTCAGCAACCTGATTCTACGCACTGGCGAGTTGCATATCGTCATGGCCCAGTGAAGACCATCGGCGCTTACATCAAGAGCAGCGGAATCGACATGGCTTAGATTGAATCTGACCTCTATGGCTCATCAACAGTTAGACAGATTGTTGAGGGTAACCATACTAAGAGAGCTGAAACAGCACACCTTATAACTTTGCAAGCCTTATTCAACCTTTACCAACAATTCTTCCTGGAGCATGAAACAGGTGAAACCAAAAGGCGTCTGACGCAGCTGGCGAGCGAGTTGGAGGAAGCTTGCACAAGCGGAGAGAGCGGAAATGTAGCGCAGGCGCACAAGAACATGGCAGATGCTGTAGAAACATTGGATATCATGACTAAAATGTCAGAGTTCGATGAGAAGCACGCAAGCAAACCAATGTTCAAGGTCTTTCGGAGGTACATGGAAATGGTTTTAGAGTTGATGATGTTTATTCGCGCCGTTCATACTGCTGACTGGGATCTCCACCTAAAGGCCCTCGAAAGGTTCACAAAGTCCTTCTTCGCCCATGATCGACTTAACTACGCTAGGATGATCCATCTGTATCTCGCAGAAATGAAGTCTCTCGAGACAAGTGACCCCGACACCTACAGCGAGTTTAAGAATGGCAACTGGATTGTGAACAAGAACCCCGTCGTTCCTTTCTGTGGGCTTGGTGCAGACAACGCCCTGGAGCATCTCAATCGCTCGATGAAAGTCAGTGGAAGATTAGTTGGTATAACCCTGAATCCTAATGCCTGCACAAAGTTCTTTTTGATTGCTCCAGAACTGGCTCAGTTGGCCAAGCAAGCGAGAGATATGGCAGGCGCGTCCAATCACTTACACTCCAAAATCCTTAGTCATCATCACAAGCTTACCACCGCCACATTGTCCCAAGAACAGAAGAATGTCAACAAGCTGATCGCAACAATCGCAAGCTACACTAACCCATTAGATCAGTCTGGAGATGACTTGTTCAATATTGTCACTAAAGTGGTAGTATCTGAGGAAACGAAACAGAACCTCTGTGCACAGAGTAGCGAGGGAGCCAAACTCCTTAACACATTCGTGTCAGAACGCATCCAGAAAGCCAATGTCAATCTGTGATCTCCCATGAAGAAACGCAAGCTTCTAACTTGGAAGACTACTCTAAAGAAGACCAGGGTTGCCGTGAAGAACAAGGTAGTTGAGTTACAAGAGGACAGAAGCCTGTTTGCCCGGATGATGGTGGTGTGCCAGTGGAAATCAACATACAAGAAGCAATTGGCCAGTACGAGTTTTCTGTGGTTCCGAGGTCCCTCTTTGCTGCTGATGATGTGATGCTACATTGACTAAACAAGAGTACGCTGATGAGCTTGGTTGAGAAAGATTATGGAGGCGCCAGCTGTCTCTTCCACTGATGAGACTGATGAGGCAAGACTCCCGGTGCATCGAAAGAAGGCAGTCATTGTGGATGGAATGGCGGAGCTGCAATCGCTGGACAAACCGGCCTGCATAGCTACGTGCGCTCAACTTGCCGAACACTTCACTGACAAGCTTCTCTTCAAGTTCTCCGAAAGAGAAGAGATTCATTTGGTTTTTGACCGTTACGATGTTCCCTCGTCCTTAAAGTCAGCTACACGCGTCCTTCGGCAGGGAGATCAAGCGCCGATTTACTACCGAATATCAGACACGACTCATATAGCAAAGGTCCCGATGAAAAGCATACTGTCACACACCAAGACCAAGATGAAGTTGACGGAATATCTTGCAGCCAAGGTACTTCAGAGAGCAGAAAAAAAGGGCAAGGATCTCGTTGTCGCCTGGGGGTGTGAATGTAAAGCAACCCATCGAGATGTCGCGCACCTTCGCAGTAGTCAGGAGGAAGCAGACATGAAGATCATGCTGCACGCCATTGATGCTACTAGACAAGGAGCTACAGAAATCCATATCTCCGGATACGGATGTCTTTATTTTGTGCATGAGACAATGCCCTGAACTTTGTAGCAACATCAACTTTGTTACAGGAACTGGGCAGCAACGACGGGTTATCAGGCTACAGCCCATAGCACAAGCTCTTGGTCATCAGAAGGTAGCAGCGTTACCCGGCCTTCATGCATTGAGTGGTGCTGATGTTACTGGTTGTTTTGCTGGCAAAGGAAAGGCCACGTAGTGGAAGATCTTCCCAGAATCAGATGAAGAAGTTTTTGACGCTCTCGCAAACATGGGTTTTCCAAATCAGCCGACGGTGCAGACGCTCAATACTCTCGAGAGGCTTGTATGCAAGGTCTACGCCCCCAAATCAAGCATCGCTAATGTCAAGAAGCTCAAGTGGTCCCTTTTCCGGAAAATTGAAGCGCAATCAGAGAAGTTGCCACCCACCCATGCCGCACTTCGCGAAGGTATAAAGAGAGCCTGCTATCAAGAGAAAGTATGGAGTACCGATTTTGTAGCGAATCCACAACTTCCTTTCCCAGAAGAGTATGGCTGGAAGCTAGAAGGCGATACCTGGGTACCCGTGATGACGAGCTTGTCTCCCGCACCAGATGCTGTTATTGAGTTGGTCAAGTGCAATTGCTTAGCAAGTCGGTGCTCAACGAACCGTTTCACGTGCAAAAGCTAAACCTCAACTACTGAACTACTGAACAATTGTGGCTGCTCCGGGAGGACAGTGACCTATGGCGAGAATCGCCTAGAAGAGCCGAGTACATTGAGGTTCTGACTCTACAATTCAGAAGGTGATGAGGACTGATCCTTATAATGCAGTGCATGATCCATTTAGGCTTTATGGTCTAGCCATGTCCAACTCCTGAGGTTAGATAATCGCTTGAAAGTTTGGCGCCGGAATTTTATTGAAAATAAAAAGAAAGTTATAGCAAATTATATATCAGCAGCCTCGTATTTCGTGCCCCGATAGTCATGTGATCGTTTTAGTGGAATGATATAATCTAGCCATGTCCAAGCTCGCTGAGGTTTGTAATCGCGGAAAAGTTTGGACCGAATTTATGGAAAATAAAATAAGTTTATAGCTATTTATATATCAGAGCCTCGTTTCCATGCTGAAAAATTTGGTTGTTTGTTTCTAAAATACACCCCCTAAAATAGCCCGCGGTGCAAGTTTCAATGTTGCCCAACATATATTTCATGTCCATATGGTTCCCTGCGACACATTCTAGCCTAGCTTTTGGCTTTACGCCTGGAATTCCCATGGGAATTTGCGACATTTGCTCCCTGACTACTAGTACACATTCAGTACATCACGCAGATTAAGCAAATTGACATAATAACCAATCTATCCAAGAGAATTAACAAAGTGCCGCGAGCGACAGGCTCATCTGGTGTCTGGTGTTGCTGCTGAATAAATTCATTTGTGCATATACAATGTCCCGATAACATATGTTCATTCTAACCTCAAAAAAGAACACTTCAAACTAGTGTAAGTGAAAAATTCGCGATTAGGAATGGCGGGCCGCCTATCAAAAGGCCATCTCTGCATCGTAGCCAAAATGCATTGCAGCAATGGCAGCTGTCAGGGGCACGTGACGACGGATTGCAAAAAGCAGACAGGCAATAATTACCATATTATTACATACATAACGTGATTCTATGTTGTCAGGTAATAAGCCGTACATTAAACCCCTTGCAAGGGCACATCTGGCTCCGTTAAAATAGCTCATATGTTGAATACAAACCAGAGCAGCTCGTCCAAGATTACATTTTAATTTACCAGCAAGTACGATAGCAAATATCATGTAAACTAATTTCGAGTACAAGGTAGGCCATTGATTAGTGGCGACCGTAATAAGCTCTCAAGAACGTACACACTGCGTCATATTGTGCCAAAATTTGATGAGAAATTAAAAGAGAGTCTGGAAATCCGCGAGCCTCAGCTCCTGTGGTATATTATTTGAGTGCTAGTGACTGGTATTTCCAGACTATTCATAATGAACACTATCAGAATCTTCATTAATATAAGTCATCTCATGTATCTCTAAGTAAGCAGTTGTTCAAGTAAGTGAGGTTATGTGTGTAATTCACTGTATAAAATGGAGTTTCACAACCACAGACTCGCCAACGCGAGTTGAGCAAACAACATCAATGTTTAACCCCCTTTGAGGGTCAAAAGTGTTTATCCGCACACTACTCTTCGCATGTCAGGCAGAAATGTACATTTGCAGTGTTCGCTTTGCAAGGTAAGCATAAAAATGCTAGGTCAGCCGGCTGAAACAAGAAAATTTGTGTTCAATCGCTCCGTCAGACCAGTGTCCTCAGAAGTAATGTTCGAAAAGCGGCGCGCCCGTGCCCCATTGACCTTTGACCTGTGACCTACAATTTCGGCACAGTGATGGCTTTTCCTACCATGATGCTATACACCGACTATCACGAGCCTAGGTCGAGCCGTTTAGATTTGTGCCGCAATTCTGCATTTCCTCCCTATACCTTATGTTAAGGAGGAAATGTTCCTTCTTTTACACCTCTTAAACTTTGACCTTTGCCCCCCAGCTTTTGACATCCCAACTCGTTTTGACGATCCCCCCCAACGTCCCGAATATCGTGACCGTACGTCAAGCGGTTAAGATTTGCGCCCAACTGTTAATGCATGGACGCACGCTCATGCGATTCTACAAGCTGCATCTGACTATGTCAGATGAGCTAAAAATGGCCATGCTGCATTTACATATTGTAAGTTAGTAAGTCTAGTCAAGCTAAACACGTGTTTTTTCATGCTCGCACACCAAAGTTGTCAACATTGTGGTTCTTCGTTACTAAGCAGCACTTTTAGAACACCCCTATCGCAAGTCCAATTGGCTAGAACTACCTGTCAATCGCTCCAGGCAGTTCTAGATCTAATTATACTAGTACCATATTACTTATATAACTATTTATAACTACATATTTGTTATACAAAGTTACATATTCAGTATAAAATTGGATCCTTTGGACATTTCCTATTGGACATTCCTATATACCTTTTGCGAAGATGGGACCAGCTTCTTCAACAAACTGCAGGGCATGTGCAGCCCGGGCCCGCCTTGGTGTACGACGGGGCGATTGCGGCACGGGGCTGGGTGCATGCTTACTCCCACCTGTGGAGCGTATCTCGCTGCCTACGAATAAACAAAACCTGTGGGTTACAGAGCATTTGTCTGAAGTCAGCATATCTCGAACTTTACGAGGTGTATTTACAGTCGATGTACACATGGGTCACTTGAGGGAAATGTTCAAAGTGTCCTTCATAGGTGTTCATTCTATGGTGTCTGTTAACAAAGGTTTGACTATTGAGTTTTTCACTAGGGGATCTAAAATCCTTATTAGCAGCACTAAACATATCCTCAAACTTAGCTGATATAAAGGTGTTTTTAAATTAGTTTAAAATTCAATAAAAATCTGGGAAATTCGATATATTGGGGACAATTATACTACTCGCAGTAATTGAGGGACAGCCTTATGTCCCATCGGGGGACCATGAGGATAAGAAGAAGTGAGGAAATATATTCATGCTAGTTACTATACACAGTCTGATCATTTTAGTCGGATTCACTCGACATTCACTGTTGAGAATGTCGCATTTTGAAGATTATGCGAATGGCATCTGCAGATTTCTGCACGTTAATATCGTCCCACGTCATCTCCGGTGGAGACGCACGTTTTCGCGGAAAGAAAACTCACCGAGTGTCGGTGTGCTCGAGTTCTTAGGGGTCAGCACTATCTCCTGCTGCAAAATCACCAACTTCTGAGGAGCTGGGTTGCAGTCGCTTCCTGACGTCTCGCCTCCGCCGGCCTTACGCTTCACACCTTTCTTACTAGACGAAGCAGGTTTCGTCTTGACAGCAGACGCCTTCAAAGACCTACAAGCAATGAGTAATCGAAATAGCTGCTCCAATGTCGCAAGCGCACAACAGTGTATGATACTAGTGCCAATATAACTCCATCGCGTATTTCACGTACACGTTTTAAAGCTCGAAACAATGTGTTTCAAGCAAAACAAATGTTTGCAAAACAAATATAGCGCAGATCGCCTCGGGCACATACTAACCTGCTCTCGCTCACAGACACGTCCATGCCGGCCTGCCTGCCTCTGCACGAGCGTTTGCCGTGCAGCAAATTCCCCAAATTGATGTCGAAAGGCGGCAGGGTGCCAGAGCTCGTTGTAGCACCGCAGTCGTCGTCCAGATACGCCTGCGCCTGTTCCGTAGACAACATCACCTAGCGACGGCCGGTCACGAGCATTACGTTAGTGGCACACAGATACGGTACGGCGACGTGAGCGTCAAATAGGCAGTAGTGCTGCACGAAGTGTCACGTGGATTAATTGGCCAGTAAAGGCGAGACGAATTAACATTCCGATTTCTGTTTTGCATGCTTGGCAACTTCTTTTCGTATACATACCATGAGCTATGAAGCGCACATTCGCCACGCTGTAATAACATTAGCATTCGACTGTGAATGTTGGAAAAAAGAGTGCATGTGACTTTCCCTTCGGAGTTTATACAGACCAGGTCCAATGTGTTATTGTCGGACGTGCAAGTGAGTTGCACGAACTCAAATAGCAGAGAAGCAAGCACTGTGAAGCTTCAATCACTATTGTTCCCCGCACTTAAACAGAGCACCCGCTAGAGCCGAAAATCTCTGTGACACATTGCAAACCCAACTTATCACGCGTCACCTCCTCCTCCTCACCTTATCCCAGCTGTACCGCTGCACGCTGCGGCCCACGACGTCGATCTCGTACCCAGCGTCGTCGCCACGTCCGAAGTGACCGACGACGGTGCCCTTGTAGTAGTAACCATCCTCTGCCAGCGCCTTCAGCCTC